TCTGAACGGATCTCACTGCTCCGAGTAGATCTCACTGCTCCGAGTGGATCTCACTGCTCTGAACGGATCTCACTGCTCCGAGTGGATCTCACTGCTCTGAACGGATCTCACTGCTCTGAATGGATCTCTCTACTCCGAGAGGATCTCTTTGCTCTGAGTGGATATTTTTGCTTCGAGCAGATCCCTTTGCTCCTCTGCTCCTCACACCTGCCTGTGTCTGGGTCTAATGCATTGGCAGTAAGCCTCTCTGTGACCCAGGGTATGTGTGGGTTTGGCCACAGTCTCCCTGGTCCCCCTGCCTTCACCTCCCGACTCGAGGGGAACCGCGCGTCTGGGCCAGCGCTGTTCTGGGCGTCTAACCCTAATCTTGCTTATTCCTCCTCTCTGGCCAGTGTGGCGGTTGGAGGCGTGTTGACTGTTTGGCATCCTTTGTGTCCATTTTGGAAAGTGTCACCCCAAGTCAGGCCACGAGAAAGACCCGTGGGGAGTTAAAGTGGGACGTACAGAAAGAGTGAAAAGAGGTGTTTGTGTGAAATCCCAGGTACCCCCCCCCCGATCCGGTCACACTGGGGTTGCCTCACTACAGACTGTGCCGCGGGGCGTGGGGGGCATCAGCAGCAGTGTGTCCTTACTCCTTACAGGAAACAAAATGTCCCTGTTTACATGTGCTGCCTTCATATGCGTCACATCTACATACATAACCTCAGCTCAGCTGCAGACAGGCTGTCCCTGTTGTGCAGTCAGGTGCAGTCATTTACCAAATAAAAATGGACATTTAAAGCTTCCTAATTGATAAGACTAGAAATCCATCTAATGCTTCTGTATACAGTCAGCTTGATAAATACTCTTTGCCACACCATATATATATATATGTGTGTGTGTAAATATATATCCTTAATATATATCTATATATATATATCCTTAATAGCAGTGCTTTGTTGAAAAGATATCTAAAGAGTTTAACGTTCTAAAAACAATGACTGAGTCCAAAGTGGCTGATGCTGTGGATTACTGTGGTCACTTTAGGTTTTGGGGGCTGGACTTGGTGGAGGAGTGAGAATCTGTAATGTGACCAGACCTGCTGTCTCTGGGGGTTGGGAGGGGCTGCATTAATGCATTGGTCATTAAGACTCATGAAATCTGGCTGATCAGTTGCTGGAGCCTCCCCCCCACCCCCAGTGCAGTAAGTGTTATTGCCGGCACCCTGTGCTCTGGTTAATTAGTTAACCAGCCCCTGGTTGCTCATCATGGGGCCGGGGAACATAACCATGACGAGCCTCCCCCACTCTGCTGCATTAATGTCACCTTGCTAGTTCCAGGGTGACTGGCTGGTTAGAATAAGATAAGATGCTCTATTGGTCCCATAGAGAAATCCTTGCAGCTACAGTGAGGTGCATAAAGTGCACAGATACAAACATTCAGTACAAAACAAAGACAGTAACACAGAAATCTAATGATCTGAATCCCCCTGAAATGTTGGCGCGAACCCAAATCAGACTGCAGTCTCTGATGCCACCCAATATATTCTCCTTTACACTTAACTCCTTTTTACACTTGTTTACTGATCGCGGAGCAGATCAGCTCTGTGGCAGGCAGCCCTGACATCTGGATAAAGGGAGATCAGCATAATCCAGCAACCCCCCCCCCCCCCCCCCCCCCCCGAACCTGGTGTTCACCATGTCCCACGACTTCTCTTACTGTCCCTCAAAAACATGAGGCAGAGTTATATCCTAGGAGGAAGAGAGGACACAAGTATGTTTCCGGAAAGCATCATGCCAGTGCCAAGCCGGGGGTCAACAGGAAGCCTACAGAAGTAATGAGATCCTTGCTAATGGTCGGCATGCATTAATGTCACATTGGGCATGATCACTGGTACTTCTGTTTCAACCCCGAAAGGAGAGTAATCAATCCGGGGGCCACAGCGATGATGAGGGGGGTGGGAATCCTAAAAGAAAGACCTCAGGCAAGCAGAAGCCCCCCCCCCCTGTGCACTTCCTGTAAACACACATTCACACTCTCAAACAGACAGACAGACACATGCGCTGAGAAGCAGGCAGCCTCCTGCCCCCCATCGCTCAGCTCTGGGTTCAGCCTGACCTCTGGTCTCATCCCACATTCCCTCCCACTTTCTTGGCCTTGCGCAGCCCTTATTGCTGGCGTCCGAGGGCACCCTATGAAGAGCTATTTTCCGAGGCCCGCGGCGTGTGTGTCGGTCTCGGCAGGGACTCCAGGTCTAGTGCATTCATCCACGCACCTTCCGGGTCTGTTTCAGGTTCCTGCTGCTATTTCCTGCTGAAACTCGGTCACTAAGTCAAAGTCGGGTCACATGATTCCAGCTCCTCTCTGGACGGAATTCCCTTTTGCGGCGATATGTGTTAAAATGCCGTATTATATAATAACGACACTTTATTAATCTTTGGGGGAGTTTCTCTATTACCTACCCATCTTGCTCTGCATGAGTCACATACACAAGTGAGTGTTAGCCTGAGTGTGACAGTGAAGGGTCAGCCACCTGCGATGCCCGTAGAGCTCAAGGGCCAGCAGACATGTGGCTGTTCTGCCAAGGCTGGGCTTGAATCAGCGACCTTCCAATCACAAGCACAGAGGTTTAGCTCGCTGAATCACACACTGCTCTACACCTATACATGTATTTGCAACTGAACATGGACAAAATGTGGTCAGGCAGTTGAGGCTGCATTTCTCTGTCTAATGTATTTACAGACACAAAGCTGGGTCTCTCCTTGACTTGCACCCGCAACGTCCATCGTTTATAAGAAAGGAGGATTCCTTGTAAATGTGTGATAGATCTGATGCATCTGGCACAGAGGATAGCATTAAGGGCTGGTTCATACCCACTGTGGATACTTCTTGTACCAACGTGCCAGGTAACAGCATGCATTGATGCCAAGGCTGGGCTGGTGCTGTACACCACAACTGCTCTTAAGTGATGTTTATGTAGTGTGGTATGGATGTGAGATTAGAAACTTCAAGGGGGGTGGCAGCATTGTGTTCCCTGGACAGCCCTGTCACCTGCTCCACCCATCTGATCCATACTCCTCATGCACTCACCAGCCAGTTCAATTTCTAGATGGATCAGCTAGAAAAGCTGAAAGCTAATAAATGTTTTGCCTGAATGCTCTGATTCTGGCTGTTTTTCTGAAATGTCTTAAAGTGACAGTTATTCATTTCTATGTCAAAATGTTTATTTTGTATTTATTTCTCATTTGCAATGTGACCAACATTTCACGTGACATGACAATAAACACTATAACAGATGCATTATTGGTATAGACAGACCTTTGCTTTTATGCAAAGGGACCCATAGTAATGGGAAGGGATGCAGTTTATGTTCTTTGGGATTTGAACCTATGAGCTTTGTGTTGTTAGCTCAATGCTCTATCAGCGCTACAAAATTGTGCTTTAGTTTAATGTTAATTGCCTGTGAAATACTACATCAAGCTCAAGATCACACAGTTTGAAAATATAAAACAAATCACATCTCCTAATGGTTTAAAACTGGACATAGCATTTTATTTTTCAGTATAGGTTAATTGTAAAATATTCAGGCTATATAGGTGCAAACCAATTGTATGGTAAAGCCTTTTATGTGACAACCCTGGAGCATTTGATGTGACTTGTCTTAATGTAATTAGGTTCACTAGATCTGTGCCTGTTAATTCATGTGACACCACTGACTAGAGTGGACTGAACAAGGGCTAGATAACATGATTAATTAACCCGACAATAGCACAATATTTTTTTTAAATCAGCGAAGGAAACCATCACACTCTGAAGAAAATATTAATTCAAGCATACTTTACACATTCTCCCTCAGATGATTAAATTCTCCCGCAGTAGCTGACCGGCTACCAATTCGCTGAACAGTGAGGCTAGTGATGAAAAATAACGTCATACAGTGTTACAATCACAGAACTGTACAATATTCCTTGCAAAAAGATCCTCAGAACAAGTTTAGATGCCAGATGGCTGTGATCACAAAATGGCAGCTGCAGGCTCCGTTTTGGCTGCTCTGTCTTGTAGTTCCAATTTTTCAATTTTAAGATGATTTTGGGTCTGGTCAAGTGTACATTTTCAGGTATAGATTTTCATCCATATAATGTTTTGTCAAGTGGTAATAAGATCCATCAAAATTCAAATACAATAAATACAGAAATAATGACAAATAGATTGGTCCTGTTCACACAGAGAAGCCTGAAGTCACATCATCTTTCTGCTCTCACTATGCACTGTTGCTGCAATTTTGATGTGATTTGTCTCAAAATTTAATCAGGTCCAGATCTTCACCCTTAAGGTGAAGCTGGCGCTAGACTGGAACTAAGATGGCACTGTAGTTATCTTAAGCCTGCAAAGGCTGTTCTGTCAGTTTAACTGGGAGCGTTAAACCAAGCCCCTCTCCCCAGATCTCCCAGTATGCCTCGGCACAGACATGAAGTTGGCGCTGCTGTCAAGTCCTGAAAACCAGTATGAGATGCTGCGGCTGATGTACACCGGGAGCCAGGTCGTGCATGGCAATCTGGAGATCACGCACCTGCAGGGGGCGCTGGACCTCAGCTTCCTTCAGGTTGGTATCAGCTGGCGTTACCATGGTGTCAGCTTCCGCTTTATCAGCTGCTGTGACACGACAGGTCATACTGTCAATCTGTAAACGATGTTAGAATGTGGCCTGTAACCTGCGGGTTGCCAGTAGCCCAGCTGCAAAAACGTAAATACATCTTGATAAAAACATCAGCTGTGTGATGTCGTTCTAAATATAAGCTTTTCCCTCTCCTCTGCTTTGCTGTGCACCCCCCACCCCGGGCACCTACAGGGCATCGTAGAGGTACAGGGCTACGTCCTGATCGCCAACGTCTCGGTGCCCTTGGTGCCCCTGGACAGCCTCCGCATCATCCGTGGCAGCCAGCTCTACAACTCGAGCTACGCTCTGGCCGTGAAGGATAATGGTGGACTGAGCGAGCTGCGCTTACGAAGCCTGACAGGTGGGGGGTGCGAAAGAGAGTAATGGGGGAAGGAACAAAGGAAGGAATGGTTGCCGCAGGGCATGTAAGAGGGAGGGAGAGAATGCCAGATGAGGGCAGATGGAGATGTTCAACCATTGTGTGCCAGTTTATGGTTAACTATGGACCGGTCAGTCAGGCTGTGTTGCTACCCCACAGCCGATTGGACGAAGACTACTATATAAATGTAAAATTCATTCTGATTGGGTGAAGCGGCTTCAGTGTACATGATGCCTTACTGCTCCCTGTTGTTCAAACAGAAATCCTCCTGGGGGGGGTCTACATTTACGACAACCCCCGGCTCTGCTTCCCAGACGCAAGAAAGATCCTGTGGAATGATACTCTGGATGAACAGAACACATACAAGAACCTAGTGGAGGTGCAGAAGCGTCCAGCCCTTTGTGAGTGCCCACCGGAGGGGTCAGAGACCTCCTTTTAAATTGAGCTCCATCTGCCAACCTGTGTTTGACACACCATCTCCAGGGACTTCCTGGTGACCATCTGTCTGTTTCGTCTTACCAGGTCGGAGCTGCCATCCGGCTTGTAAGAACCAGGCCTGCTGGGGATCGACGGCCCAGGATTGTCAGAGCCGTGAGTCATGTGACCACACAAGCCTCATCCGTCACTCAGCCTTGCTGGATCAGCACATCTTTGCCTTGGTGTGTGTTTTTCTCCAAGCCATCAGAACTGCCCCTCAGCTCCCTCCCCTTCCATCTCACAGTGACCCACATCCAGTGTGCTTCCGGGTGCCTCCGCTGTAAGGGTCCAAAGTCCAATGACTGCTGTCATAAGCAGTGTGCCGTCGGCTGCATCGGGCCCAAGGACACCGACTGCCTGGTACGTCCCATCTTGGGGCAGATGGGGGGGGGGGGCAAACACAGAAATACAGGTGAACATGCATATATGGTCTCACAGATGCACATGGTGTGCTCTCAGGTTTAGGAGCTTGTACCCTTTTTAAAAGGAAATCTTAAGTGCTCATGTGGTCGCAAACCATCTCTTTCCTGATGCTGTTCCCCCCTCCTCCCCACAAACATTCACCCTCCTGTTTAGGCATGCCGTCACTTCAATGACAGTGGAACGTGTAGAGAAAACTGCCCACCCCCCATCATCTATGACCCAATAACCTATCAGTCCAAACCCAACAAGAACAGGAAGTACAGCCTGGGCGCCACATGTGTCAGAGAGTGTCCTGGTGAGTCTGTGCTCCTCATTGCACGCTGCTCAGAGAGTGTCCTGGTGAGTCTGTGCTCCTCACTGCACGCTGCTCCCAGCTCGCCCACATCCTCCACTCCTTCTTTTTTTCTCCTGGGCTGTTTTCCTCTAGCTGTTTACCTTTCACTGCCTCCTGTACTACGACTGTCCCTTTTATTCTCACTGTATATATCACACTCACTGTATAAATATATCAATCAGGGCCTCATTCTGCGTCTCCCCTAGGAACATAATTTCGCCTTCCCCAGCCCTTTTTTCAGTAGGTCACCTAAGATTCATTCTGCATGCCCCCCCCCACCCCCCTCATTGTAGATAACTACCTAGCCATGCCGATGGCCTGCACCAAGGTGTGTCCCAAAGCCAACCAGGAGGTCGTCGTCACATTCCCTAATGGCACAGAGATCCAGAAGTGTGAGACATGCGACGGAGACTGTCCCAAAGGTGCGTACGCACATTCAGGAGTAGGTGTGCTTGCTTCACCAGTCTCCTGATGTTTCATGCCGTCTCCCTATCTCAGTCTGTTATGGTCTAGGCATGGGAGACCTCCAAGGTGTGCATGCCGTGACCTCCTCCAACATCGCCCTTTTCTCTGGCTGCAAGAAGATCTTTGGCAGCCTGGCCTTCCTCCCTGAGACCTTTAATGGGTAAGATCATTCCACACACGCCCAAACTGCACCCCCACTACAGCCGCTTTTCTGTGTCACGGAGGATGAAGTTCAGATATCTGAAACTGGGAAAAGGTCAAGTGTCATGGTTATTTGAGGTTAGGATGTATGATGTATCTGCAATACTACTTTGCCAGCACCATAGTGGAAGAATGTTGGTCTTTACACCTATTTCTTCTCCAACTATCCATCGTCGCTCCCCAGAGACCCGAGAACCAACACCTCGGCCCTGGAGCCGGCGCAGCTCGACGTGTTCAAGAGCCTGCAAGAGATCACAGGTGCTGCTCCCCCCCGGCTCAGCGCGTGGCCTCGTTAGCCTAACGCAGTGTAAACATGCACTGAACATGAGTGCTTTTTGGTTTTCTTGTGAGCAGGCTACCTGTATATTGAGGCTTGGCCGGAAAACTCGACCGACCTGAGTGTGTTTCAGAACCTGACGGTGATCAGAGGAAGGATGCTGTACAGGTGCGGACTTGCAGCCCCAAGGTGCCGCTTCAGCCCGGCTTTGCTCAGATGCCTCTTTGGCTGTGACGTGTGACCTCCTCTGTCTCCCCTCCTCCTGTCCACAGGGGCGTGCTGTCGCTGGGTGTGCAGAACCTGCAGGTGGAGTCTCTAGGCCTTCGCTCCCTGCGTCGCATTACCGGCGGCCTGGTCCTGTTGAATGGCAACCGCCGCCTCTGTCACGCCAGCTCCATTCGGTGGGAAAGGATAATGCACCCCCCCAAGAGGTCAGGTCTGCAGCAGGTCATCCTCACAGAGAACCGGAGCCCTGAGGAGTGTGGTATGCAGTTTCTCTTGTGAATCCTAGTAGTGGTATTGGATGAGTCCCTCAACACCTAGATTTAAGCATAACACAAAGATTTGCGACCTCCAGCGGCAGATGGGCAACTGTGTCACCCCTTGTGTGCTAACGAGAGCTGCTGGGGGCCAGGACCAGGCCAATGCGTGTCCTGCCTCATGTTCCAGCGTGGGACGGAGTGTGTGGAAGAGTGCAACATCCTGCAAGGGTGAGAGAGTAGTGACAGAGGTCTTGTTGGGAGTGGAGAGAGGTGGAGCACCATTGCGTTTGAGGCTAGGCTGGTGTGGGTTGTGTGGCCTCCCTGGATACATACATTGGCATTCAACATAGTTCCCTCATTTCTTCCCCTGGGGAAAAAGTACCACATAATGGCTGATTCCTTAGCCGCGAGGCCATCTACTGGCCAAACCCTAGTAGTGTGGGTAAGTAGTAACAGCTTGTGTCCCCTTCAGGTCTCAGCGGGAGTACAGTGACAGCAGCGTGTGTCTCCTGTGTCACCCGGAGTGTCGCCCCATGAACGGCTCAACCTCCTGCCATGGGCAGGTAAAACTCGGGGGGGGCGGCCTTCTCTCAGTGGCTCTGAAGCAGAACCTTCGCAAGTTCAGGAACACTGGCAATGCCTTTGCTTTCCAACAGGGGGCACACCAGTGCCGGGAGTGCCTGCACTTCCAGGACGGCGACACCTGTGTGTCACATTGTCCCAGCGGGGAGAAAGTGGAGCAGCAGACCGTGTGGAAATACGCCAACGAGACCAGGCACTGCCTGCCCTGCAGCACCAACTGCACTCTGCAGTGAGCACCTGTGCAGCCACCGCCAGCTGCGACCTCGCGTGCACCGGCTTTACCCAAAGAGCAGCCAGTTTATGGGAGAGGGAGATATGCCAGCCATTATTTATTTTGGACCCGTGCTTAAAAAGATCCTGGGAAGCAGCCAAATGAATTCAAACAATTTATCATGCTTAGTTGTATCAGTTTGCCTGCTTGAAAGGTTCTTCTGGTTAATGAGTTCTGGGCTCAAGCATTGTGTGAAGGACTGAAACTTAAACTTCTCCCATTCCCAGCATGTAAGGTGCTGGGCAGAACCTACTGTTCCTTGGTTACAGCTCAACTGATATTTTTAAGGCCTGTTTTTTAAAGACAGTAGATGCTTTTAGGAACTTTGTTCCTGATGCCGAGTTTCTGGGCTGTCGATGGGTAACTGCTGTAGCTCCTGGCCACTTTTGTGTGTCGCGTTCCCACCACACAACAGGAACTGGGACTTTTATGCTAAATAAGCATGGGAGATACAGAAAGTTTGTAGGTTAAACTTCACATGCAATTTCATAAGCAAGGTAACTATACCGTCACCCCATCCCAATGGAGGATGAAACCCCACTTTTCTCCACACTTCTGCATAACTTCCACGTTAGTGCCAGTGCTTGTGTTCAGCCAGTCAGCAAAGTCAATTGCTATAAGCTACAGCCAGATGAATGAAAAGTACCTACCATTGAGCAGGACCAGCAACTACAATCAGGCTCTTGCAGTGACAATGTGACAGAAGTTCCCTGAATTTTTAAAAAGTTCCTTGTTCCTGAACAAAGTTGCTGTGGTGGGCAGGGGCCAAGTGCATTCTGGGATGCCGGAGAACAAATGCTAGGATAGCTATATGAGAGCCAGGCTCAGGCTAACAGATCTGTAGAGAGGAAGAGCAGCCAGATCGTTAGTCACAGGTGCAGACCCCCTTTCACGCTGTACTATGTTACTGCACTGGGAGCCCTTACCCACGTTTTACTGCTGTTTACTTTCAGGTGCACCGTGATGGATGAGCGGGGATGCCCCGTGCCCCCTGGCACAGGGTAGGAATCCTTTCTGTTGTGGTTTACTGTGAGTGTATTGTTAGGAGTGCTGGGACTTGACATGGTGAGGTAAAGTAGTTTAGGGTTGTCATCATTTGCATAATCAATTAACGTGAATAATAACTTCATAATCCTATAGGTGATGCCAAACAAAAAATGAAAAGTGATCTACTGCAGCCTGTGGTGTACTGCTTACAGTGTTCATGCTCTGTCATTCGTCTCCCGTCAGGCCGGGCACTTTCATCGCCCCCGTGATAGGTGGAGTCCTCCTCCTCATCATTCTAGTGATGCTCATGGTCTTCTACCTACGCCGCCAGAGGCACCTGAAGAGGAAGGAGACAATGAGGAGGATCTTGCAGGAGAATGAGGTGCGGGAGGGCCTGTTGGGGGTTGGGGCGTGAAGGTCCAGTACTGTCTACTCACTGTCAAGTGACTTACTGCCCAGTCAGCATCTAGGCTGTAGCTTGAACCACCCAGGTGATTCTCAGGATTCGGACGGGAAACCAGGGTATTAAGTCAAGTCTTAGGCTACCAATGGTCCTGCGGGCAATACAAAAAAAACAGCTCCAGTTGACCTACCAGGGTTCCTAACTTCTGAGGAATACACATTTTAGGGCACTTTTACACCGCACAAAGTACGGTACTTTCGGTACGGTATTTTCGGAACTTTCGCTTTTCCATTGACTTCCGGTCGAGTACCAGTACCGAAATCTCGAGTACCGAAAGTGCCAAACCAGTAGGGGTACTCCTTTGGTACTTCGGTACTTTGGGGTGGGACTTGCAAACGTATTTGCTGTCGATTGGTTATGCAAATAGCCTACCGCTGAAACACAAAATACAACCGCCATCTTTTGAAACACACAGCGAACAGAGCGATCACAGCAAGAAACAAAATAAAAAGCAGTAGAAACAAAAATATAAAAAAGTAAAATGGAAGGATGTACAAAGGAGGAAACACAGGCTTTAATCGCCATATGGTCGGATGAACAGATCCAGTGGGATTTGGATGGCACGATTCAAAAAAAAAAAGTTTTTGCCGTCCCCGGCAATTCAGTTTCCCAATGTTTCCCCTGTCGTGCGCTGATTTGTACACGGTTTAGCTGTTGTTTTCATGTCTTTTTACGAAGCTCTTGAGGTAAACAAGCCATATATTTTAAAACATCACATGCCTTTTCGATGTTTTTTGTTTTTACTGATAATAAATTAAATTATTTAATTCGCTGGATAGAGATATTTCTTGATGAAAACGGTATAGTATTGCTTATAAGACTATATTATGCGTGACGATCTACTGTATTCACATGTTATAATGTAGCTGAGTGATTTTCAGACATTTCACATACCTCTTTGCTTTAATATTAGGGGAAACATTATTTCCTGATAGACAGGAGAAACATAGGGAAACTGAATTGCCCGGAACACCGTAATACCAAGCCACTTGGAAGAAATGGGGCACACACGAAACAATGAACAATGCCGCTTGAAAATCAAAAAACATAATTAAATAATTTGTTTGCTTTAAAAAGACTGAATTAGCAGTAAGCTAATTCTTACGGCCTTGATCGGCTTAGCCAAAGTAAGTGTACCTACGTAAACGTAAATCATGGCAGCATTCATGCAATTTGGATATTATTGAATCTTATACTGTGATAGAAGTTGACATAACAATAAACCGTATTTTCCAGCCTCAACTGTTAGTTTCAATTTTGGGCTGTCAGTCAGGGGCGGTCACTGATGATGTCATTTGGTACCGGTACCATTTTTTACGCCAGTGGAAAACCGACATGAAAGAAGTACCAAACTTTCGGCACTTTATGGAAGTACCGAAAGTACCGAAAGTACGGTACCTGGTGCGGTGGAAAAAACGCCCTTACAGTGCATGTAAAAACCATCGGATGTGAATGCATTGATTGAGAGTGAATGGGTCTCTTTTCTTAGCTGGTCGAGCCCCTTACCCCCAGTGGCGCCGTGCCTAACCAAGCCCAGATGCGCATCCTGAAGGAGACAGAACTGAAGAAGCTGAGAGTGCTGGGCTCTGGGGCCTTTGGCACTGTCTACAGGGTGAGGGCAGCACATGCCAGCTTGCAAATGCACTCGCAGACCCAACGTGCCAATAGGACATGAGGCTCCCTGTTCACTCTCGCTAACCACTGCATGACACTCCTTAAAATACACCTTACCCATGGTAGACACGTGAATGGTGCACAAGTAGACACACTCGTGTGCTCAGCTAATGTAGTGTTTCACAGACACCTCTTTCATCCTCACGGCAGGGAGTCTGGGCACCTGATGGAGAAAATGTGAAGATCCCAGTGGCCATCAAGGTGTTGAGGGAGAACACCTCTCCCAAAGCCAACAAGGAGATCCTAGATGTGAGTCTGTAGGCTAGTTTAGTTCTGTCAGGCCCTTGAACAAGGCCCTCAATCCCAATTGCTTGAGAAACTGGCTGACTCTGCTTTTTCAATCGTACATGTAAATGTAATCTGTTCACTCTGAGTCAAGTAGGACCTTCTTGCCACCTAGCATGTAATATACTTGCGTCCCCCCCACCAGGAGGCATACGTTATGGCCGGGGTGGCCAGCCCATATGTCTGCCGCCTGCTGGGAATCTGCCTGACCTCCACAGTACAGCTGGTCACCCAGCTCATGCCCTACGGCTGTTTGCTGGAGTATGTGCGCGAAAACAAAGACCGTGTCGGCTCCCAGTACCTGCTCAACTGGTGCGTGCAGATCGCCAAGGTGAGCGCTGGGGAGAATTCCAGCAAGATCCATGGAGGCTCCATGCAAGGCAGGCATTTGCTTATTAGGGAGGAGCCTAAAATGACCATCGTACATGTTGACCTGCAGGGGATGAGCTACCTGGAGGATGTGCGGCTGGTCCACCGGGACCTTGCGGCTCGCAATGTCCTGGTGAAGAACCCCAACCATGTCAAGATCACTGACTTTGGTCTGGCACGCTTACTGGACATAGATGAGACGGAGTATCATGCTGATGGGGGCAAGGTCTGCTCTGTCTGTCTGGTTGAGTTGTTATATCACTGTTCCTTTACAAGACTATGACATTATTTTCTCTTTATTTATACAAGCTGTTAGCCCATCTGATGGTTGTCATCCCCTTTTGGTGACATTGTGACCTTTGACCTTTGAATATCCGCTGGTTACATGCTCTTGGCAATGAGATAACATCGCTTGCTTGCAGGTGCCCATCAAGTGGATGGCTCTGGAGTCCATCCTGCACAGGAAGTTCACACATCAGAGTGACGTCTGGAGCTACGGTTAGTCTATATACACCAAGCCGGATCTGGGTATTGGTCAAGCGGATTGACACTGACTGATACGCTCTGCCTGTCTGTGTGTGTGTTGTCCCCAGGTGTCACGGTGTGGGAACTGATGACGTTTGGGGCCAAACCCTATGACATGATCCCTGCCAGGGAAATCCCAGAGCTGTTGGAGGGGGGAGATAGGTTGCCTCAGCCCCTCATCTGTACCATTGACGTCTACATGATTATGGTGAAATGTGAGTGTGGGAAAAACACAGGAGTGGTGAAAGCACGCTGGGTTATTTTGAATGATTCATCAACACCTCATGATGTATGCCTGCCAAGTACATTTCCCAAAGGTTTAAGTCCCACTGCAGTGTAGAATGGGGAGGGGGACGTCTTAAATTTTGTGAGGTCTGTGCTAATCTTGTTTCGGTTTAATTTTATGTTTCGTAGGTTTTAATCTGTAGTTGTATAATAACTCCAGTGGGGCTTTTAGACTTAGCTTGGCTTGTTTTAAGGTCCAGTTATCAAACCGTTAAAAAGTCAGAGATAACTAATGCAGTATAAAGTCAGTAACACGTTACTTAAGGCCATGTTCTTAGGAATTTACAAACATATTCATAACAACTAATAATGCATTCACAAAGCATTATAAACATGGCATAAGAGATTAAAGCCATGTGTATTATGTATTATGAATGCTTTATGAAGCTCTCATCTATAATGCACTATAAGAAGCCTTCATAATGCATTATAATGGTTGGTAAAAGCATTAAGGATGTTTTGTACTGCATTATAAAGGTATCTATAGTGCACTATAGATCAGAGCTTCATAATGCATAATAAACGTGACTATAGTGTGTTATGCCTTTTTATAAATATCTATATCCATGTTTATAATGCTTTATGAATGCATTATAATGCATTATGAATGTGTTTATAAATAAAATAAAATATGGCATTAAGTAAAGTGTTACCAAAAAGTCTTGTTAATGGTGGGAGGTCTTCCCAAATTGATCTGGAGGAGCGTGCACATTGCAGTTGACCACTGAATTCAAGCATGCAAAGTTTCCTTGCAGTTGACTGTATTTGTGAACGACAGGCTGGATGATTGACCCAGAGAGCCGGCCTAGGTTCCGGGAACTGGTGACAGAGTTCAGCAGCATGGCCCGGGACCCTTCCCGATACGTGGTCATCCAGGTGCGTCCATGTCAGCCGCTGGGAGCTGTGGTGTGATACAGACTCAGCCCGTTCACGGGCCACTGGGACGCCGCTGCCGATGTGGTGTTTCTCAGCCTCTCTCTGCGTTTCAGAACGACGATCAGATCAGCCCAGTGGACAGCCATTTCTATCGCACGCTCCTGGAGGAGGAAGGACCTGGCGTGAGCGAGCTGCTGGATGCGGAGGAGTACCTCGTGCCTCACATGGACCTCTTCAGGACCCAGGGAGAGCTGGCCAGCAATGGGCCCTCGAGGCATCACTCCCATAGGGCAAGGCCACCTTATCCCCTGCGGCTATTTGACATGGGCATAGTGATATCGTGTGTCTGACTCCTGTCTCTGTGTTGTCCACTCAGAGCACCGAGAACAGCCTGGATTGGGATGGTCCAGTGGGAGCGAGGAGCATGAATCCATCAGTCAGCACGCTGGGGAGGAGTCAGTACCCCACCCTGACCATGGGGGCCAGCATGAAAGGGCTGTGGGGCTCCCATTACCCCCTGGCCCGTAGTGTATCTCACCGCTCTGCGGGGGGACAGTCGGATTCTGTTTTCCTGGATGTGGGGACAGAGGCTAGCGCCCCCATCAATGGCCTGCGGTACTGTGATGACCCCACGTTTGCGGCTATGAGGGACAGTGACATGGAGATAGATGGGCCGGCTCTGTTTCTTTCACAGACGATCTCCCTGGGAGGTCAGGGACAGCCCGGTAAGCCTGGCTACACCTTCAGTGCCCCACCGATCCTCATGCCCAACTGGCTGTACAGCCACAACCCCCCAAATGTATCCATGGCACAGTAACTGTTATTTTTGTAATTAAGGCATATAACTGTGCTAATTATTATTACAATCATTATTTCCATATTGATTATTACATGAGGGCCATCCCTGCACATGTATGCTAATTTACCGATCCCCCCCCCGGTCCCCAGAATACGTAAATCAGGTGGTGCAGAACGGTGGAGTGAGCTACACAGAGCGCCCCAGCACGTTGCCACGGCGAGCATCTGGGTCAACACGCCGCTTCCGCAGTGGCCTGATGCCTGGCAACAGCGTAGAGAATCCTGAGTACCTGGTGCCGACTGGAGGTCCGTCACCTGCTTTTGACAACCCCTTCTACCTGGACCTGGCCAAGGCACGTGCCGGGGGCCCCAGCCCGTCGGCTCCGCCCCTCCCACGACTGACCAATGGCTTCGCCACGCCCACAGCAGAGAACCCCGAGTATCTGGGACTGGCAGACAGCTGGAGTAGGCAGCAGGGTCACACTTGAGCTGGACAGTCCCCGCTGTGCCACCTCTAAGCTATGACCTTTCTACCCGTCCTACCTGGCCATCCTCGTCCCTCTCTGGGCCAGCCTACCATGTCTCTCCAGCTCTTTGACCTGTGCTCTAATGGCTGGATGTCTAGGTTGATCTCCCTTCAGCATCCCATCTCAAAGCCTTTTCTAGACAACCTTGATCCCATTTCTCACACATTAACCCAAAGCCAGAGAGGACAGGGTGTTGTGGTTCCTGGTCCAGGTGGATGGGGGCGGGGGGGGGGGGGGTGAAACTCCTCCTCTCCAGCAGGGTCTCTGTTCCCAAAATGGAATGGAGGAACATGTGAGAGATTTGTAGGCCCAGTGGACTGGAAGGTGACTTTTGGAGTAAATGTATCCCCTATGTCCGACGGGCAGCACAATGTAGCGTCTGGTCTATAACAATAGAAAAAAAAAAACAAGTCAATGGTTTACTGAGAAGAGAGAAATCTCCTGGCCATTATAAGCTCTTTGGAAGGACATAGATCCTGATGTCTCAATCAGTAGTGCAGTATGCAGTATTTGAACAAAGGAAAGTTGTGTGTATTGTTTGGAGGTACACACAGATGCACTTGTCTATATTCTTAATCACATCAGAAGTTATCACAGAACTGCTTTTGGTATTTACCCCAGACCAAATTTGAGGTCAGATGGTTTTTTTGGTGGGTATTTTGTGCTGTGACTCAACATGGACATTAAATTGCTAACAAAAACTAAAAAATGCTGTATTTCCAACAATCACAAAACATGGTCGGGTGATTTAACCATAATAATGAAATCCTTTTGTCAGTCACACTTCAGTGACTTTTTAGGATTATCCCAAGTGAAATACCAAGCTATTTAGGAACTTTTGAATGAGGTGCTCACCTGAATCTCTCCACTAGAATGTGCAGGTGTTTAAGTGAAGAAATTTGCTTTGCTTAAAAGCCTCAGCTTAACTAAGTGTAAATGTAACTGTCATTAGTGGCCAAACTCACTGGAAGAGAAGAAAATGAAGGAAATAATAAATATATGAGATGTAGAAACAAGTGACACTGTAGAAATGAAAGGTATGATTTTTTAATTATGTTTGAAAAGTTCTGTACTTTTTTTTCAATTGAGAATACTGATGTTCTGGTTCATTATTAATGAGAGCTCTATTCTCATGTGTGATGTTTAATATGCACGTAATTCCAACTAGAACATTCTGCAGAGACCATCTGGTTTGTAAGGCATGTGTAATTAAAGGGCATTCAGCACTGCAGGACTGGGCCAGGTTATGTGAGGAAATGATTTGCATGGCATTTGTATTTCTGTGCACGGGGCCGCGCTCTTAGTGGTGCAGCCAGAACAGAAACTGGCCACGTTGTGGTTCAGAAAAGCCAAATTCCCACAGCTACCAAGAATGTATCTACACTTCCATCTGAGGCTCATCCTGCAGCTACTGAAGAGTCATCTTCAGATTGCAGAGCTTCCCAGAGTCTCTCTGGGTGAATGTGCTTGCAGTGATAGAGGATGGATGCTTGTAAGATGCAAATCAGCTGCATTGGAGGAAGAGGGTGAGGGTCTTATTAGGGGCTCCGGTTGGCTGAGGAAGGCCCCCGCATGCCATGGCGAGCCCTCAGACAGAAGCATACTTGCTTGTTGTGTCCTGTGAGCCTGGGGGGGGCTCATTGTCATTCAGGGGGCAAGGCCTGCGTGAAAGGAGCTGTTTGTTATTGCCGGAAGCGGGGCCATACCCCGACCCGGGCTCCGCCACAATGCGGGCTGATGTACGGCTGACTGGTGGGCCCCTGAACAATGCACAGAGGGCTGAGGGAGGGGTGTGTAGAGGCCCTCCGCCACCCCCAGCTATCATTGACGCTGTCCCAGTTTATGCGGGATTAAGATGCCAGCTGGCTGGACGCAGGCTCTCGGAATATGGGAGTGCGTATAGCAACCTGTGCTGTGGACAGTAAACGGGTCCTGTCGGCATCTCCTCTCTCTCCTAGAGCTGCAGTTAGATGGAAACAGTCCTTTAGGAGCACAGAGCAAGCTGATAACAATGCGAGATATGCACCGGGAGGGAGGGGGAGATTCCGGGCTGGTCTCTGTGCCGGAATGAGCGGCATGACTGTAGTCTGTAGTGCTGAGCTCTGTTCAGGTCTGTCACTGAAACGGCACTGCCCTCATTCAGGTTCCAGGGCCCCATTCTTACCGCTATCAAACTGAAATCCAAAGCTGTGATGCGCATCTGGTGATACCGGTACACTTGTTTTCTTTGAAACACAGGTTAAGAATCTCGCCCTGTGAAGCTGAGGGCCATGTGGAGGAGCGCCCCCCTGAGGGAAATCTCCCAGCCAGAGTCCAAAAATAAAAGGTGCGGCTATGTGAACCACGCCACATGTGGTAACTCGAGCCGAGCCGCTAGTACGTAGAGTCAGCCGGCCCCCGCCGCCGTCTGCATATAGAACGTGCCGGGCAGTCTGGAAACTGTGGGGGTAGGGGTGGCAGGGGGACTTGTGAATGTTGTACAATACACTTTATAGAAAATCTCTCCTATTTTTTCAAGTGATATACCATTTTTTTTGTACATTTGTATTGCGTGTAAATCTGGCCGATTTATTTTCTGGAACCTGTATCAATGAGCCAGTAAATGGTTTGCATTAAAGTACTAAAATAATATAACTTTGTATACAAATGTTTTTTTTTGTTGTTTTTTTTAAGATTGAATTTTGCTCACACAATTTAAATAAAGTTGGTCTTCGTACAAAATCTCACAGAAAGCACAAATGTATTTTATTTTTTATTGAGAACAGAGCTGCCAATGGATTTTGCCTTAAAAACAAGCTTCCAGCAAGAATAAATATTTATCAGAATTTATACCTTTCACAATATTTACCTTTCACTTATAAGTACAGAATGAATGTCCATTTTTTAAATGTTACCTTGGCATTAACACTAAAAACAGAACCATCGTTACTAAACGACGGCCTAACATCATCAGATGATCATTACACCCCAGCTGTAGTGCGATTAGAGTAGTCTAGAAGGCTCTCCCTGACCGACACGCTCCCTGACCAATATTCCTCCTGGCCCAAGAGCACATACACCTGGCCCCACAGAGGGGAAGAGCCTCACTCAGTCCTCCCATCTGCCAGTCTATAGGATGACTGTTTCCATGATGATGATGAGACACGAGCCAATGGGAGAGTGTGGAGGACCGTAGTTGAGGTTGAGGGAGTGGAGTGAGGGGAGGGGGTGCTGCGGGTCTGGTAAAGGGCAGGGGTGCCGTGTGGAGGCTGAAAAGGGGACCAGCGGAAGTTGTTGGAGCCAGCTGCCTGTTCCCCATTCACATGGCTTTCACCTTGATCTGTTTCATCTTCATCTGCTTCTTCTCCAGCTTCTTCTGCTCCCTCCGCTGAGCCGCTTCCTGTGAGCGGGAGACTGAGGTCACTCACATGGACGTACGTGCGGCCTTTCACCGAATCTCCCACCTCTCCTCACCTCTAGGCGACGCTGTCGCTCGGGATCCTCCTCGTTCATGATGCGCTCCTTCTCTGCCCGCTTCTTCTCCTCACGCCGCGTCTGCGCCGCCTCCTGCCGCTGGGCGTGTGTTTGCTTTAGGAAGTTCTCCTCCACACGGGCCCGGTTCTTATCCGCTTTCAACTTCCCCTGAGAACAGACACGGCAAGAGAACCCGGGCCGGGGGTCACGAGCTCAGACACCTTCACGGGGCTCAGACACCTTTACCTTCACGGGGTCACCTTCACCAGACAGGCCGACCCAGCCAGATTACAGACAGCAAACTGCTGCTGGTAATTAAGGCGTAACACTCCCGGAGGCTGTTCCATGCCCTTACAGCACTCGCTCAACAAACTCTGCATGTACTGTACCAGCCAATCATTTTCATCTTTGATGTTTAAATCACTCCTGGATGGATTTGGGAGAAATGCATTTATTTTAATTTGCTTTATAAATATCCCAGTGTTTATTGCAACAAAATTCACACTGGGATATTTGAAATATTTTAAACTATATAGTGCAGCCCAAGTATACTAAAAGTAAAATCATTTTATTGATTGTCGTGCCATTTACTGTATATCTTGTTGAATCTGTTCTTCCAACTAGATCACAATTAAAGCTTGGGTCTCCATTTGTCCATACATCCATTATAATGACTTTTTTCCCTTTGTTTATTGTAGTTTGTAGCTTTTTTTCCAAGATGGCAGTTGTATTGCGTTTCAGGGGCAGGTTATCTGCATGACCAAATCGACAATAAACACGTTTGTAAATCCCACCCTAAAGTATTGAAGTACCAAAAAAGTACTGATTTGGTACTTTTGATATTGGTACTGGACCGGGAGTCAATGGAAATGGGAAAATACAAGATTTTTTGTACTAAAAGTACGGTACCTGGTGCAATGGAAAAGTGCCCTGAGACTACGAGCCAGTCAGTCAGTGAGACAAACTGACAACCAGTCAGGTTGGCCAACAGGGGCTCCCTGCTCACCTCTCTGTTGAGGCGAAATTTCTTGACCTTGTCAATGCTGTAGATGACCATGTTCATAAGAGGAAGCAGGGTGTCCATGTCTTTTGGGGACGTGTTGCCCATTCCAGGCACTACAGACACAAAGCAGGTCAGATGTCACTTGATAAGACATGAGGCTCCATGAGAGTGACGCGTGTAATCAAGTGTGCATGGGGCCTAACTGGTGAGAGCATGTACCGTTAAACGTAAACAGTAAGGTCTTCTTAGTCTCAGGGAGCTTTAAGGGTTGACCCTCCCTAAAACACAGACGCAAACAGATTCAGCACAACCATCGTCTTTGGATAGAATCATGCGAATAGGTTTACCAACAATACATGCCAGGGACAAAGCTCACGTACTCTTGCATAAGCTTTGGACCAGAGAATTGGTCCGAGTAATGGATTGACTCAATCTTGTCGGCGTGATTGATGAGGTAATGAACCATCTGAAAGACAGACACGCACACACAGGTTTTGAATAGACAGAGACATACCCGGCACCTTCCTGTCAAATCTCAGTATAAGGCTACATCTATACTGCTATGTTTTTGAGATCAACAACAACCTCCATCCACATAAGTATTTCCTATCACACTGAGACAAGCAAAAACATACATGACGTAACTACTGGCCTACATTGGGCAACCGCTCATCAACACAGTAACCATAAATTTGTTTCTTTTTGTGCAAATATGCAGCAGTCATATGCTCATAGGAGTTTTACTTACACAAAAATGCTCTGAGCGAACAACGAAAAATGATTGGTTCAGAGAGATAACCAATCAGATTGTAGAGGGGGTTGATCCAAGCAACTAGAGAAGGCAGGACCAAGACATCTCATTGGTCGGTCCCACATCCTCTAGTCGCTTGGACCCACGCCCTCTACAATCTGACTGGTTATCTTTCTGAACCAATCATTTTTCGTTCTACCCTCAGAACATTTTTGTGTAAGTAATACTCTCATGAGCCAGTCACAGTGTATTACATGATATTTAGCTGCATACAGGTTAGCAACAGGGAATGTGCCATTGAAAACCTCCTCCTCCATATCCACCAAGTTGGAATACTACTTACTTCCATGCAAGTGACCAAACAGACAATAACAGGGTATAAGTAGTAGGATCAAATCAGGGAAGGTTCATGTGATGATTAGGGACCATAAGTCTCCATTTTCACTCATCTACATCGTAAGGTTAAAACAGAGTTTTCTGAAATATACAGCTCTGGGAGTGTTTTCTAGTTTCTGTTTTTGGGGGGCTGAAAACTCTGGAGTAGTGTGAACGGAAAGTAAAAATGTGTCAGTGTGGACGCAGCTTAAAAGAGCCAGTTAAGTAACATCGACCCACTGATAATGTTAAACTCTATTCAAATAGCAAGATCTATTTAGTTGAGCTGTGACCATCAGAACCTCCTACATCACCTTGCTGTCCATCATGCCGTCTGAAACCTCTCCCATCTCTGACAGGATGGCCAGGAATTCTGGCAGCCCGTACTTTGCTCCTGACTTGGGCTTGTCACTGCAGAATTCGCTCTGAGAGAGAAAGGGGTGAACACACACGAGAACACAACCACGGTCAGACCTCAAGGTGCTGCCCACACCACAGCCTAGTGCAAAACCACAGACGTGCACAATAACGCGACATTGTCCAATAGCAGCACTGCAGGGAAAATTCTCTCTTTTTGGATTGAATAACACAATTCAGTCTAATATTTCACAACAGTTGCTGCCATGGTACTTAAGAATATGTGGCAATGCATTATTAGTGCATAGATACATTATGGATCATGACATGGGGGAAATAAAGAATAAAGGAAAATGCCATAAGGCGACAGAGGAAGGAACCAAAAACCTCGCCCACAGTCATGCTAATATTATAGAATCATTAATAACTGTCCAAATCTGCAGTAAAGGTCTAATTTAGCAGGGTATCCATCTATATCCACAGAATGTTTATCAATTAGCATTTTTGAAACTGAACATCCAAAGACTGTGAAATATGAGCCATGTCAAGTTACAGGACGGCCGATAAAAACACGTGTCAGTCAGTCACGGGATTCTCACCAGGTCCTGCATCTCCTTCTGCAGTCTCGCCATGGCCTTCCTGTTTCCCACGGCAAAGACAAACGTGTCCATGTCCTCATCATTCAGGGTGACCTTTATTTGCTGTAGAGGCCAGGGAACAGGAGAGAGTGCAGGTTCACACTGCGAGGCTGCGAACGGGGGAAAGTACCACAGACGGACATGCCTGGCCTGGAACGGACCACGGACAGCAACCAAACACATAATCTAGCTGTCACCCCAACTCATCTACAGAGAGGATTTTCAGCCTGGGGGTCTCGACCTGCTGGGGTTCCTGGAGCAGGTCCAATTTCTTTTAGGACTTCCTGCTTAAAGAAAGGCTGAAAAACCCTGATCTACACCAAGTCCTCCTTAAGTCATGCCAACATCCGCATAATAGCAGTTCTGTTAGGGTCCATTTGCAAACTCCCAGAGACATAAACACTCCCTGGCGACGTGCTGATGATGAGCGTGCAGTCCCAGCGTCTGCTCTCGCCAGCACCGGAGGGCGGCGCCACACGGACAAACCTACCACTTGATCGCAGGCAGGCCTCATCATTCTGGCCAGCACATTCAGCAGGTCCTGCCTCTTCAGAAACTGCAAGGGGGGCCGGAAGAGAACATTTTAGCTCAGGAAGGTCAAGCACCACCTGGGGACGTGCTGTGATGGAGACTCCAGAGTGTGCCTGGTTAAATGGGCAACAACCGGTGAGTGCAGGAAATCCCCTTGGGTCTTTGTTAGCAGGCCAGAGTGAGTATGTACAGATATGACTGTGTTTTCACAGCATGATGGGAAGCAGCAGGCAGGCCATGAGGAATGGGAAGGGGGGGGGGGGGGTTGAGAGGGCTGCACCTTCAGCTGGATGAGCATGCCCTCGCAGCAGACGCGGCCTGAGCACCACAGGTTGTAGATGTGTTCGTTCTCCTGGTTCAGCTTCCCTGTGCTCACCGCCTCCATGCTGGTCCCGTCATCGCCTGGGGGGGGTTCAAGGGCATTAAAGAGGAAACACAAACACACACACACAAACACACAAACACACACACACACACACACACACACACACGTCTAAGGAAGCAACCTTAGGGGAATTGGCCCCATTCACCATAATGACTCCCATAAAGATCACACACATCTTTACTTTCTGTTGTCCTATTAAGACAGGGGTCTAACTAATTGCGCTTTTCCACTGCCACCAAGCACTGAGCGGTACCACAAACTGGTGGTTCTCCATTTTAATGTGTGCAAGCTGTATCCAAGCTTTACCTGCACTGACTAGTGAGCAGGGCCAAAAATGTGACCAAACCAAGCTGATTGTTACCACCATCTGATTGGTGAAATCAATATTCTGTGTACAGATTATCTGAAGGGAAAAAGGGCATATCCTATATATTATTCATTATTAATAGTATCGCACACAGAACAACTGATGGGAATGGATTCATAAAGCAAATGTATGCAAGTGAATGCTAATTCCACTAGCGTTTGATACTAGCATTACACAGTGATTCTCACAGATGTGCTAATTAGAAATGATCTGTTACAACAATCGATTGCTGCATGTATTGTTTTTAAGGATGAATGTGTATTTGCATACCAGTTATATGCATCCCCGCACATTATGATATACATTATGTGAATAGTAAATAAGTTCTCTGTCACTGTCGCTCTCCAAACCTCTTCGCAGTACAACTCCGGTGTGGCTTGGTTTCTGTATGCCAGTGAAAAAGCGCCATAATTTAACCTGGACCCTGTCTAGTTGCCCAGGGGGAAGTAAGCCATCTCTGAAACCATGTTTTGGCATATATATGACAAATGGCCTTTGCATCACCAAATTTAATTCTGATATAGTTTTGCATGTGAATAACACCTACCTTTAATTTTTTAAAAATCCCTTTGAGAAATAGTCTTTCCTACACTGGGTAGCAAAAAAAAACCTACAGCTCAGCTGTAGCTCGTTGGAAAGGCCAAAAATAGTACTTTTCATGGAACTTATATGTTACTGCCAGCTAGTCTACCTGTACCTCCTATCCCATCACATAGGCCATTCTATGTAAAGTCAAAAAAGATGCCACACTGATTTTATCCCAAAGTTCTGTTCATGGTGACTTAAGTTTATGAAGTTTTTCCTGTTTTTATACTGTGCACAGGGCATTTGAAAAATGAACAATTCTGGTAAACCTGGGATGATCCTCCCCCCAAAACACTCAAGGGCCGAGCCCTGCTGATTTTCCAGCTTTCCTTCCAGCCAAATGACTATTTCAATATTAGTCTAAATACTAGAACTCGTGGCCATAAGTGGAAATTAGCGGGAGAACATTTTAAAACAAATTTGAGGAAGCACTTCTTTACACAGCGTGTAGTCAGAGTATGGAATAGTCTTCCTGCTATTGTAGTGGAAGCTAAAACCATGGGTTCCTTTAAATCAGAGCTGGATAAGATTTTAACAACTGCGAGCTATTAGCTAAGTTCTCCCCAAACGAGCTTGATGGGCCGAATGGCCTCCTCTCGTTTGTAAATTTCTTATGTTCTTATGTTCTTTGCCTGTGAGCCAGGGATGAAGCCTCTGACCAATCAGAATCAGTTATTATAAACTAACTACTTGGGAGAACTGAAAACAAGGCCTGGATTTAGAATTGAGGACCAGATTTGAAGGGGGGGGGGGGGTTTAGGCTATTTTTATGAAATAAGAGGATTAAAAGAGATTAGTATATAGTTTCAGCTATGTTTTTGTGAGTTCAGAGTCTTGTGACTCCTACACCCCTTTTAAATAAAGATGCTGTTGGGACAACAAGGTGTTCCCCAGACAGCTGTCACCCCTCCGTCCATCTAATCCTTACTCCTCTGACACCCCCAACCTCTAGAATTTCCAGAATTACTGGATGGACCAACTGGAAATGTGAATAATAAAAGTGTTTTTACCAAAAATCTCGGAATCCTAGTTGTGACACATCTCTGAAACTACACCTATTCATTAACTGCACATTCTAGTTTGCATAAGCTTTACCCCCCAATTAGGTGGTGAACTGTATATATTTGTGCATGAAATTTATATAGTTTTTTATGTATGTAAATATTCATATTGCAGCTGTCATGATTAAAATTTGCCTTTATAATCGCGTAGTCAATGCATTTCTCGATTACTCAGCCATAAGGTGGAAGACCAAGCCTAACAAAAAGTGTGAAAGCCTCAAACTCTCCTTGTTGTCACCCAGCACTGTTGCTTCAATTTTAGTGTTCTCAAAATGTGAGCAGTAGGGATGTAACGATACACTCAACTCACGATTCGATACAATTCACGATTCTGAGTTCACAATACGATTTTCTTACGATTTTTTTTTTAGCAGAATGAGCTGCAGGCAAATTTATTCAAAAATATTCCTTTATTTTCTTTCTAAACTGTGAAAAATATGTCCTCTTCTTAATAGTGCAACTGAAATTGATTAAAATACTGTTAAAAAAAAATCCCAAAACAAATAAATAATAATAAAAAAATCTTCAAATAAATAAACTAAGGCTTGCATGCGCAGCTTTTTAGCCTGGTTTGCCCTTTTAATAATCTTCACTCAGCTCACTGTGGTGCCGGTGGACATGCTGAAGCATGTTCGTTGTGCTATTTGTGTATGTTATCAGTCTTTGTCTTTTTTTAATCAATTTTTGTCTTGTCTGTGCTTTTCTCGCCGTTTTCGTTTGCGATTACCAGAAAACTAAAATGCTGCCACACTACTGATTTAAGATCGGGGGCGGTGCGTCCGTCCATCCATTTTCTGAAACCACTTAATCCTAACTGGGGTCGTGTGGGGGACCAGAGCCTATCCCAGGAACAATGGGCGCAGATGGGACACCAACCCCAGGCAGTCGCCAACACACCGCACACACTCACACAACTACAGGGCCAATTTAGACTCACCAATCAGCCTATCCTGCATGCTTTTGGACCGTGGGAGGAAACCAGAGCCCCTAGTGAAAACAGAGAGAGCGTGCAAACTCCACACAGAAAGGACCCAGGACCGAAGCCAAGACCTTGCTGTGAGGCAGCAGCGCTACCCACCACGCTACCCACCACGCTACCATGCCGCCCGGCCATGCGTCCTCAATTTCAAATTCGCTCACCACATTTGGACAAAACCAAAAACAGACATACGACATCGGCGTGAATACGCAGTGACATCTGATGTCGAACTGACGTCATGAAATCAAATGTAATATTACACCAGCTTTCCTGTTAAAGTACTATGAAGTACTCCTAAAGTAGCGATTCATTTTCCACATCAGCCGGTTTAAATCGTCATACATTTACATCGATTTTTAACTGATTCGCAATTCATTCTTACATGCCTAGTGAACAGTTCCAGGTCTTCACCCATGCAATCTCTAAAGCTAAGAAATAATCAGACAAATAATTCAGTTGTCATGCTGAAAAGATCAAGTGTCTGAGGCTGCCTGTCTCTGTAGTTATCACCACATGGCACTACTTCAATTTCGCTAAAATTTGTCAGAAAAAGATCTATAAAATACTTTTAGAATTCCTGTCTTCATATGACAAAGTGCCTTCTACAGCTTCCAGCAATATGATCAATGAAATACTTTGGACTTATCACATTTATACGTTCAAACGTCTGCTTTCACCGTTACCTTTGCTGCCGCCAAGTGGCGTTGTTTCAATTTTGGTGTGATCTTTTTCAATTTAATCTCCTCACATAGACAGCGTTTTCGGAAAGATTGAAAAAGATCTGTGAAATACCTTTGGAGTTATTGCGCTAACCAGGAAGTGCGTGTGGCGGTGAACTGGTCCCAAAAACACTTGTATCTCCGATCCAGGGAATACAATAACTTTTTTTTTTTTTTTTTTTTAAAGTATTTTCTTTTCAATTAATTGATTTTCCCTCCTACCATATGCCTTTTTAGAAACTCAAAAATCAGCATTTTCAAAAAACTTGCATAACTTTGGGTGCTTCGCTCATGAAGGGGATTAAGTAGCCGGTGAAAGTTTTATAACCAGGTAGTACACATACATATTTATTTCATTATAAAAAAATTATGATTTTATACTCAAAGTCCTTAACTGGTTTTTAGTAACCAAACATGCAGTTCACAAGATGAACTCTAACATTGAGAGAAAAAAATAGATTTGTGCAAAAGATGAATTTTACCAATGAGGCATATCTGGCCAGGTAGCTGAAATAGTTAAAGATCATAAGAAATTATTGTTTTTTGGGTCTTTTTTTTCATTTCGGAGCTCTTGAAGGTATGTGTAATTCACAGGCCAAATTTCATCAAAAATGGTGAAAACTGTTCTGGAAATTTGTTGAACTAAACTGGAACCTTAACCTATCCGGTGTCTCTGGGGGTTACCTCTGGGTTACTTGCTTCCTCACCCTTCCAGCTAGTATGGATCTGCGTCACCCCTCGGATCACTCACCCACCAGGGCAAAGTTGCTCTCCAGTAGCTCTCGGTGCGAGTTGAACCAAGCCTGCGCCAGGCGATGGTTCTTGTTCTTGCCGATGATGTAGTTCATGATGTAAGCGAGCAGCCCCGTCACCATGAGGATCTCCATGTAGTAGCTCTCCCAGCTGTTCTGCAGGTGGGCCGGGACCTGGGCAACAATGGCACAAAGGAAAAACATGCCTTTATTTTGTAGTTATTATGCAGATTAAAAATCCAGCTTCAATATTCTCTGAGCATTAGTGAATCGTGTTTTTTGGGAACATCTCTCTGCCTCTCTCACACCTAATGACCTTGATGAAGCCGAGTATTCAGGATGCAAGCTGGTCAACATTGTGCATGGGCCAAAACACACGCCAGAGCAGGGAACTGACAGTAATGAGCTTCTACTGTGTGACTTGACCATAAACCATAATATGTAGGATTCCCTCATATCAGCTTTCCTAAATGATACAACTTATGGCCTTACCAACCCGAAATCAATATTTCGAAAGGGACAAAGGCGGGAAGGTCCATAAATAGGAAAAAATAATTACATTACAACATAAGAAAAGGAAGGATTATGACATGTGAGCGCCATACAGTTAAGATGTTGATGGGGTCCTTGGAAGAGGGGTTGCTTTTCTCAAAGCCCTCAAACTCCTCTGTGTCATACTTAATATCTTCATCCTACGGGAGGAGCAAAGAGAGAACAGTCAGCCTTGGCCCGACATGGCACTCACTTCCAAAACGCGTTACAAAACAAACACGAAACACAAGCATCCCTGACTCGAACGCCAAATTGTTTCCTCCAGTTTTCTTTTCAGATGCTAGTTTTACATAAACAAGGCACATGTAAGAGTTTCAGGCTGATGCCAGGAAAGTGCCACCGACATGATGTAGCTTTTCATTTAGAATTATTCTGGTATGACTCTAAGGCAAATTAAAGAGCCAGACCTGTCTGTCTCCCCAGTCTATGCCAAAAACAAACATCAAAAAGCTGAACAGAACCTTCAGTCAGCCCAGAAGCACACTTTGTTAAAACGGCTGTATTTTTTTAAAGGCAATTATAGTTGTGGTTACTAGCTTACTAGCTTGACCACCTGATGGCTGATGCACATCAGCTCAGACCCCATTATCTCACCGGCGTTTCGGCGTCCTCAAAGTCATCATGGGAGTCCTCCAGCTCCACCACAGCCTCGTCGTCCTCCTCGTCACCAACAGAGGCTGTGGGCCGGGGACTGGGGGTCGAGTCCTCCTCCTCCTCTTCCTCCTCCAGCGCCCGGTCCTCACTCATATCCTCAAACTCGGCGAAGTCATTGTCATCAAACTCGGCCAGGTCCTCGCCATCGTCAAAATCATCATAGCGGCCGCAGCTGGCAGGCACCACCAGAAGCAACAGCAGGGTCGGGAGGGTGAGCACAAGTCGCATGACCAAATCTGGGGCAGAGGACAGGCGGAGTGACCTGGGGCTGAGGGCTATTTCAGTAAACCAAGCAAAGCATAGGGCCACAAGAAACAACTATTTTGGCATCAATTAACCATGTGATCAGTCAATCAACTAATTGATTGGGCACAAAGACAGGGTTTAAAGGAAAGTGCAAATGCTTTATTTAAGAAACATGCATTTTTAAATAACAGTTGTGATAACATTTTTTAAACAGTGTAGAGAATCTGTATTTAAAGTGACAAAGTGGCATAGAAACAAAGATATGCTGTCTATGTCATATTCAGCTTGTTACCGACTGTACTTTATATCGCATATATGGTATTTTGACAGTATTTCCGAAAGCTATGCTATTCTGGCTAATTTTGTGCCCGAGATTTCAAAATACCACAGTACACTGTATTGTCGTCAAAGCCTAGCAACGACTTTTAAACCGTTCATAAACGTTTACCCATATCACTACTGTGTTTGTATCTGCTGCAATATATCGAGCCTCTGCTGATCTGGTGGATGATATTGCTGTACACGAGCCGACTGCTACCATCTACATCCACAGATGAACCCAGTTAACAGGAAACACTCCCAGGACATTAGTTAACGTGATGTTTGCTGGAATGTTCTTACCGTGATGTAACAACTTGAGCAAAAAAGCAAGGAAAATATATACCTCATTGTTAAGCCCCTTGGTGTTGTGACTATTTGGTTTTATAATCCTTTGTGTCTTCTTCCTTTTTTAATACATGGTGGAGTTTTGTTTGATTTGAGAAGTTAGATGACATGTTTGATACTTTCCATTTTTCTGTAAATTTCTGTTAATATGACTCTATACTCCCTATTTTGTCATATTAATCCTTTGCATGATCGTGTTTAAAAAAAATACAAAAGATTAAGTCCTTACCGTGAAGTTAATTTCCATGTTTTACATTTTAACAAATGGTCTGTCAATCACAGCACGATAAAAGGATGTTCAGGTAGTAATGTTAACACAATTAATGTTGAAAAATATTGTTTTACAATGCAATATAGCATTTTTCTAAAAGACATACACTGCGAATGCGCTGTCCAGTCTTGAACCCATGACATTCGGTGTGTAAAGCAGCAGTGTTACTCGCTGTCCAACCATGTCCTTCATTTGCTTTTATATTATTAGTCTTAGTTGTTGTAATTCAGGGACAACGTTAAGAGAAGATCAGGAGAACTGGATTCTTTGGTTCCATACCTAAATTGTAACAGTTGGTAAACGTTTCTTGAATGAAAAATTGTTAGCTGGGGAAGGTAGTATGCAGAAGACCTCTGTCTCTTCAAAAATATTTCACCCTTGACAGGCTAGACATGATTAATCAAACAGAACTGTACACTTGAGTCTTTCTGTTACTTCAGGTTACAGTATCTGTTGTTCCAATGTGATGCAATACGACGCAACAGTACTGGACCCATCGTGACTGCTGGTATGATGAAGACCCTTGCAGTTCTATTTCGAACTATTGTGCGGTTTCAATCTGCCGATAAGCCGAAGGAGCGTAAGAGGGGTAATGGGTAAGAGGGCATCCTGTTGTGTTTTTATTAACTCCTATCCCTCTGATCTGCCCTCAAATGTCATTTGAGCCTGCGCATGCGCACAAGCGAACGGGCATGTACTAACAAAATACTAACAGCGTTTAACGGTACCTTAAAACGAGCGTGCACCATTACGGTCGTATAAAATATGTTGGTGTGTACTTTAATCGAACTCAGATACACTGCTAGACAACGCCAATAGACAGTCAGACCGTCGATTCATAGACAATTTCTGCGGAAATAAATAAAAGGGGAAACGACGATTTTTGACATGCAGATTTGTCGGGGTCGATTACTGATAAACACCGCAGATACAAAAAGCGTATGGACATTTAACTGGTCGACGGTGGCTCAGTGCCATCTAACGTGAACAAGGCGATGATCAACATCACATTCAATCATCAATGTAAAGAATCCGATTTCATAATTTCCCACCCCGTGTGGTTTGTAATAGTAAAGTAAGTCCTAGGTCCATAACAGCCGTAAGCGGGGTGTTTAGTTACCCGTTTAAGAACGAAGAGAATGAGATTAGCTGGCTAACTAATACAGCTAATGTTACAATCTATCCTGTTTTACAATCACACGGTTAAGGACTATAACTCGAGCTTCCGCAGCCTAAAATCAGTATTTCCTACATGTCTTTCATACCTACTTCTTCCAGTAGATGACCCAGCCAGTACCCGTAACGTGCCTAACCAGTTAACGTGATGACTAGTACAAATCTTGGCAGCTGCGTGATCTGCAGATTCTCGTGCGTCCGTACGTGCATACGGCTTTGCGTACGTCTGTGCGTACATACGTACGACGCCTGCATATAGTCTTTGAGAAATACGTCTTAAAATTTTCATACAGAACACATTATTGTGTATTCCCATCATTCATTTGGGCTCGCCGGACATGAAGCCTTTATGCAGTGTACTAAAATGGTATGTTATGCATAAATGTCACATCAGTTTTTGGATATACCTGCTCTAACACTTTGCAAAACGAATCAAAATAGTAATCAAAATCTGTTTCCCAAATAATCGCCTAAATAATGAAGGTTAAAATAACCGGTCACATTAATCTTATACATAAGGGGGAGTGTTTCGTTTTTTGCCACGGGTGATAAAATTGTATAGAATAATAAAGGCTAAACCACAGGAATATGTTAGCAAAAACGGTGATCCTTCGTTAAAAAGTGTCAAGTTTTCTTATAAAAATACGTCTTTCCACTTGAATTCTGAACACAGTAAGCGCTGGATCACGCCGCGGTAATAAATGCAACATATCGAAAAGAAACCTTGGTAAAACCAGAAATCCGAAGGACAGTGCCTAAAATAATCACACCGTTTGACGTAGCATGTAACTTATCCTCCATGTGTTTAAAGCCAAATATGCACAGTCGAAAGCTTAGATCCAGAGATATCTCCGTCCCACTGTGCGCTGCAGAATCGCTTGGACGAAGCGACATTGACTGTGCGTGTCACACTTTAGGAGACTGTCCATCATACTGAGTGACAGTCCCAGCGCCCAATGACGGAGCAGCAGCCCCGGGCCCCAGCTCTCTCCAGCGAATGGCGTCTCACTATGTCGCAGACACATGCGGCAGGCTTTTGTCTGCTGTGCACTGCCGTGTCTAATTTGCTGTCAGACGTGCTAAAAATACAAAAGGACCTTCGCATCTTTTACAAGTTTAGTGCAGCGATAAGTGGATCACAAATAAAAATTTAAGGATTGCGTTTGACTAGAGGCGGAAGATCGTGCGCCTGAGAGGAAGAACAGGCCGAAGTCTCCGCCCAGCCGGCCACGCTTCGCCAGCAGCGCGCCCGGAGGGCCCAGGCGGCCGATCGCACCAATCGTTCGCTTTCCGGGCAACTGTCCGTCAGTGGCATGCCTCCGCTTCTCGGCTGTTAGCCCGGACGCTTGATGCCGTTTCTGGATCTGTTCGCACTGGTCCCATCAAGTTCGGCGCCGTTTCTTTGTTCACAGCGACGACGTTTTGCGGACAGTCGGTAATCAGCGGCCTTGGCCCTAAGAGCCCAGCAAGAACCATAATCCGCATTCAGCCAATCTGTCTGGCCACTTAAAAGTCGCCGATCGCCGCGGCCATGTCGCTTCACGGCAAGCGAAAGGAGATCTACAAATACGAGGCGCCATGGACTGTGTACGCCATGAACTGGAGCGTCCGGCCGGACAAGCGCTTCCGTCTGGCGCTGGGCAGCTTCGTGGAGGAGTACAACAACAAGGTAAGCCCATCTAGCTATAATAATGATACTTAATTATTATTATTATTTCTTTTGTTTGTCCGTTTAAGATAAAATAAATGTTCCTTGGATTGTATATTCGCTGGTCATCGGCTCTTCTAAATTATAGGGATGCAGTACAAGTCTTTGTTCCATAGGCATTTGGGATGCAGTCCCAGAAATGCTAAGAAACAGTAATTGGCGTATTATGAAGCGCCTCCGAGTCCCATTTTAATTAAGTTCTCCTTAATAGGATCTCGGTATTAATTTGTGTAGAGACTAATCAAAGGGTGCTGCGAAACCAGGGCAAGCTTCTTTCCTTCTAAACTATGGGAGTCAGGTTAGAGATACAGAAAATTTGTGTCAACGTGTTTTAAAAATCAGTTATAAAAATCAGTTTGTTGGATTGCAAACCTATCCTGACGCTTTCAGGTTGACTCCTGCTTACCTGTGTGGTTTTAGGTGCAGCTTGTGGGTTTGGAAGAGGAGAGCTCCGAGTTTGTATGCAGGAACACCTTCGATCACCCTTACCCCACCACAAAGATAATGTGGATCCCTGACACCAAGGGGGTATACCCCGACCTGCTGGCTACCAGTGGCGACTACCTGCGTATCTGGAGGGTGAGGGTTTGACTTGACACATTAGAATTTTGGTGCCGCTGTGTTTTCGATAGATTCCATAGGTACTGAGTGTGCCTCCTTGTGTCAGGTCGGTGACACAGAGACCCGATTGGAGTGTCTTCTCAATAACAACAAGAACTCAGACTTCTGTGCTCCGCTTACCTCTTTCGACTGGAATGAGGTGGATCCCAACTTGCTGGGTGAGTGCGTGACACTGCACCTTAGAGGTCAGTCCATGCCAGCACTGCCCTTTTGGGTTTCACACACCCCTTTTTCCGTTTTGATTCTGTAGGTACGTCTAGCATAGACACCACCTGCACCATCTGGGGCCTGGAGACGGGCCAGGTCCTGGGCCGGGTGAACCTGGTCTCTGGCCACGTGAAGACGCAACTGATTGCCCACGATAAGGAGGTGTGTCCCAGGGGGAGGCATGGGGGTCTCTGACCCAGTGCGTTAAGGTTCTTGTTTAAGGCTCACGAGCTGATATGGCGTCTCTGTGCAGGTGTACGATATTGCTTTCAGCCGCGCTGGTGGTGGCCGGGACATGTTTGCATCAGTGGGGGCAGATGGCTCCGTGCGCATGTTCGACCTCCGTCACCTCGAGCACAGCACCATCATCTATGAGGACCCCCAGCATCACCCCCTGCTGCGCCTCTGTTGGAACAAGCAGGACCCCAACTACCTAGCCACCATGGCCATGGATGGCATGGAGGTTGGTCCCCCCCCACTCATCATAAGCTTCTGGGTCTCAGTATCTCTGTCTGCCTCTGCCCACCCATTGGTGTCTGCTTTCACATTTTAGGTGGTGATCTTGGACGTGCGTGTGCCTTGTACGCCAGTCGCCAGGCTCAACAACCACCGGGCATGTGTCAATGGCATCGCGTGGGCACCGCATTCTTCCTGTCATATCTGCACAGCCGGTGAGGCACATCTGCGTGACCCTACACCCCAAACCTGCCCTCTTCATGTCATTGCCACATGGCAATCTAGCCTTTTGGTAGAATTGGGCATGAAGACAGTTCTGGCAAAATGGGCTTTCCTGCTGAGGTGTTTATTAATTATGTGCGTGTGTCTCACCAGCGGATGACCACCAGGCCCTTATCTGGGACATCCAGCAAATGCCCCGGGCCATCGAAGACCCCATCCTAGCCTACACTGCTGAGGGCGAGATCAACAATGTCCAGTGGGCTTCCACTCAGCCCGACTGGATCGCCATCTGTTACAACAACTGTCTGGAGATCCTGCGAGTCTAATCTCCAGGCCTGACACTGGGGGGGGCTTCATAGGGCTTGTGGTTCTGTAGCAGAGGGTGGGGATTCTGAGCATATTAATTTTTGTATCTGTGTATATATAGAGGCCTGAATGCCCTTAGATATTTTGTTATTGTTATTTTGTATGGCTGTTTATGCATTGAAGTTAAAGCTATGTGTAGTTCCTGAACAACCACTCCTGATGAGTGGCGTTAGGAAGCTGGATTTCAGATTCACCGCTACCCATGATGCTTTGCCAGCAGGTCTATTTGACCTGTCCTGTGATGATTATTTCAGAGGAACAGGGGAAGATCTGTTGACCAGGCTCATATCGTCCCAAAGCTATGAAGTGAGACTCTGTTATATGTGGTATTAATGTTTTGTGTGATATTTTTCTATCCCTGGGGCATGAACTACAGTAAACAGGAGATAAAAGGAAACTTAAATATTTTGGGTGCTGAATGCTTGTAAATGAAGGGATCACTGACATTTCTGTTACCCTCAATCCTGTTTTCAGGCTGTTAAGCTGTAATTAAACAGTCTGACATTCAATCTCTCTCTGCACTCAAAAGGGTTAGGTGTTTCTACATTACTGTTAACCGTTGTCTAAACATTGGTTGTGATTGGGAGGAGTTTGCATCAACACTTGCGTGCAGTTCCACAGCTTGAACTGTTTTTTGAACAATGTTTGCTTGAAACAGGGATGTTGGTCTGATCAGCCTGGAGACCAGATTTTTTTTTTGTTTACTTGTATATCGTCCAAAATGTCAATGTTATTGAAACAAGTTAATAGTTTAGGGAGGTTGGTTCTTAACACGCGCGTAAATAAGGTTTTGTGGAAAAGGTGTAGCAACAGCTTGAATGGGGTCATCTGTGGCCCCTGAGTGATGGTCATGCCAAGCTGGGAGTGTTTTGCTGTACCCCACCTGACTCACGACACGGTGACTTTCTTAGGCTTGTCACGGTCCATTTGGCTTCCGCTGAAATGGCCCCTGCGTCTTGCATGGTGGACACATCTACTTATAGGCCAGGCTTTCTGGAAAGTGCCACCAAAGGAATATGAAATGTCACAGTCTCATTGGTCTGTGAAATGGATGGGGCAGAACCAGACATCACATTCCTTCCTGGTTCTGTGATAAAAGCTTATGTTTTCTAGCATGTTTGTATTAGGGGAAAAGTAGCATATAATTCTGTTCCTCATTAACTGAAGTCTTAATAGGGCTTGTTCCCAAGGGTATCTAGTCCTTTTCCATAATACCTTTCATTATGACAGTGCGATCGGTTTTAGGGGTGACCACAAGTCACACTTAATGTGAAGCATTTCTCTACTAGGCAAGACAGCAGTTTGGATAAATCTCCCTACATGTGGAGGTAACAATATCCTTTAATGTTACACATTAACAGTCTTGGTATGATAAGCAGAATTGCCTGTGTTGATTGAGATTAACAGTGTATTGGGTGTGTCAATGTGAGGAGGTGCCCTTGCTGAGCCTTCAAGGATTTCACTAGACTACACGCCTGCCGCGTAGGGACACTGTCACGCCGGGATGTGTCTCTGGGGCCTGCTGCCTGTGGTGACCTCTCGCCCCTATCTCATATCGGACTTTTATTTTGTGTGCAGCTGGGTGTGAATGATGTGCAGTGGATGCTAATTTACAGCTTGTCTTTTCTTAAATAAACTGTTTTCCTCTGTACATTGTCTCCCATAAATGCAGTGTCTTTCTCTAACAGTGTGATCTGAAATTAAATCCATTATGAGTAATTTAACTGGTATAGAATATAACTCGGGGGGAAAAAAATCAGTTGAGTGCTTTACCAAAAGTGTAAACTAAGCTGTAAATAATGACAGAACCTTCCATCGGGAACATAAGTGTGATTTAAAAGCAAATGCTCACAGCTTCCCTGCAGTATAGTCAGAACTGGCTCATACAGTGTTGACATACTTGGAAAGCAGAACTAGGATGATTCACTAATGGAGGTTACTAAGGACGAGCGACCTGTAAACACAATGGATTCATGCCAGGAGTGAGCAGAACAGCGTGTTCTGTGGTGGACTGGAAGAGCCCTTTAGGCAGGAGGCGATCTGATCTGGGAATGAGGATAAAAGGTCATCCTCACGCCATCCACCGGGCCCCCGATAGCTGTGGCGACATGATGCTGAGCAGATCCTGGCAGTTAGACTGTAGTAAGAATGGGCATCCCGATTAGGAGCGCTGCTGTGACGTGCGAAAAGGCCTGGGTCGGCCTTGGGACACACACACACACCAATCATTATCATCATTGCTTTTCTGTATTGTGTTATAAATAAGCCAAAAAAATGTACTTGTGTTTTACGAAACATTCTTAAACCTCACAAATGATAATTCTTCTGAGAGTGCTGTGTGTGGTGCCATCAGTGACGACAAGGGCTTCAGGCGGCTAGTCTCATGTGCTACACGCTTCCCCACAGTGGTGTCTGTTGGTGCCAGCTTGGTGTGAAGAGGCTGAACATATCCGCATCAAGACCCATAGACCAAGGAAAGGCGGCCAACTCTAGTCGCCGAATCTGGATTCAATTTACAAGGGAAACACACGTTTGAAATGACCGTTATTCACATGGAGGTATTACCAACATGTGCATGTACAACATACACATACGGACAGGCGCTCGCAGGGCTCAGGGTCGTGTGGGTGTTTCCCAGAATGCTGCATTCCGATGGGCGACCCTGACAAACCCAGCTGGGCTGTTATTTTAACAACACAACCATCTGACAACATGGCTTAGGAGTCACGGCCCTGACAGGGAGATGCGATGGGAACAGGTGCTGACGGCTAAGGAGCTGCTCTCCATGCTGTTCGGGGAGGGGTGGTAACTCCTGGCAGCCTGTCCCGGGGGGGGGGGCGGAGACTACCATGTCTGCCCGCCCAGGGTTTCCTGCCTTAGCCTGAGGGACAGAGATGCTGCTGACACCTGAGAGGTGGGGAGGGACCAGACTGGCATATTTCAGTCTGGGGGGTGGGGGGTACATGGATAGTTGGGAGAGGGGGGGACTCTAGCTAGCAGGCAGCATGGGATCTGAGACACGCCTCTGGATGTCAGCCAGCCCTGGGGGGGCCTGCAGGTTCTCAGGGAGCGAGGGAAACCGCAGGCCACTGCAAAGTCCAAGGCCGAGCTCCGTCTCGGGGGATGCCGACATGGTGTCTTCCGGGGCGACAGCAAGGTGAACGCCACTGGAAAGGGAGTCCCTGGACTTGTGGGGGAAGCTGTCTGAGTCGGGGCTCTGGAGAGGGGCAGGAGAGCAAGGCATCAGAGGTCAGCGATGGATGGAGCTGTAATGGTAGCTGAGAGAGCAGCCCACATCACACGGATTCCCTTAAAGCGGCGGTGCCCTCGCACCTGCAGTGGGGAGGCCAGGCCCTCTGTGGACACAGATATGACGGGGGCTGCCCCATGCAGCGCCTGTGTGCCACCGCCGTACCGGGCAGACAGGTGCAGTACATGGGTGCCAGGGGACACGGAGCTGTAGGCAGGAGGCACAGGGGTCATCTGATGCTGCAGCAGCTGCAGGATCACGCTGATGTCGGCCATCATTCGTGTCTCGAGCCTGTGGGAGGCGACAATGCAGAGTGAATCTCACAGCTCACAGCTTCCCTGCAGTATAGTCAGAACTGGCTCATACAGTGTTGACATACTTCGAAAGCAGAACTAGGGCTACGTTCACACTGCCATGCTGAAGTGACTCAAATCGGATTTTTTGCCTTAATGTGACACAGATCTGATCTTTTCAAGTCGGATTTGTGTCACTTTCATATGTGGTACTAAATCTCATACGTATCCGATTCGCGATTTGCCATGCGACCTGAATGTGACGCTCAGATCGGAATTCATGTGGCTTTTTGCTTATACTCATGCGCTGACATCAGCCTGCACCGGCAGTGCAGGAAGATAAAAATGGAGGAGAGCTGCGATAACAGTCAGTGGAAGGATGGAGAAGGTGGGGATTTAATTGATATTTGGGGAAATTAATCTGTTCAAGCTAAACTGGAAGGAACCTATCGTAATAGAGAAGTATTTGAAATAATTGCCAAAGAAATGGCACATCGCGGACACGAGCGTGGCTACAATGCCAAAGAAAAATAAAGAGCCTGAAGTCAAAGTTTAAGGAGGCAAAAGACTCGAATCAGCGCAGCGGTCATGGCCGCACAACGTGCCAATTTTACGCATGCGTGATGTTTTGGAGGACCGATGCGTTCACATCACAGTCAGATACAAGGTCATTTGTACTTATGAATGTGAACCGTCAAGATTGACAAATCCAATCTGAGCAAAAAATATGAATTGAACGATGTGGCTGGCAGTGTGAACACAGCCTAGTATCTCCTCTCCCCTCCTATCCCTCCCCCTGCCCACCTCCTCTCTTCTCCTGATCCCTGCCTACCTAACACCTCTCCTCCCCTCACCCAGCCCCTACATACATGACAGCTCCTCTTCTCCTCATTCCTCTCCTTGCCCCAGCATACCTGAGATCTCCTCTCCTCCCCTTTCCTGTCCTCTCCCCCCCTTCTCTCCCTGCCTACCTGATATCTCCTTTCCTCTCCTCCTTTCCTCTCCTTACCCTGCCCCTGCCATCTCCTCCCCTCTCCCCTCCTCACCTTCCCTCTTCTTCTCCCCTTTCCTCTCCTATCCCTGCCCCTAACTACCTGATATCTCCTCTTTTTTCCCTCTCCTCCCCTCTCTTCTCCTCTTCTCCCCTCTCCAACCCATCTCCTCTCCTCCACCCCTCTCCCTACCCATCTGGCAGCTCATCTCCAACACTCTTATCCCCCTCTGTCCTCTCACACTCTCCACAGATGTCACCTGTTCAGCTGGGACTGCAGCAGCTCCAGGCGGGACTCCAGCTCACTGGACCGGTCCTCCGTGTGGGGGGGTGGGAGGCGAGGGGGCTGTGGGCTCTCTGGAAAGTGACTGGACCGACGTTCAGGCCAGTAATCATACAGGCTAGACGCACTGAGCGGTGCTGCAGGACATGGAGGCATCGATCAAAGAGAGACTCAGTGTGTGTATCTGTGTGTGATAAAACCTGTTATTTTGATGCTGTGGGGATCATTTTTTCTATTCTCTGAATACAATCAAAAAAACTAAAAATATCTTGTATTATGTTGGGTTACTTATGGTTAAGGTTAGGGCTGGGTAGGGGTTAATGTTGTCATATTTGAGATTATGGTTTTGCCCATTGTCTTAAAAGGACGTTTTGAAGTACAGTTACATTTTCTCTAAAATTGCATAATGTAAAGGGATATGTGTGTGGGGGTCTGGGAGCCACATCTCTACCTGTGTAAGGATGGCCTCTTTCCTGGGGGGAGCCTCCAGGGGGCAGCAGGCTGACCACCGACGGGGGGTAGAGCTCCATTTTGCCCCGGCCTGGGGTCTTTATCTCTTCCTCACTGGACTGGGAGCAGGGGCTGCCGCTGCTGCACCGCTCCTCCCAGTGTGGCTGTGGTTCCGCCCCCCGGTGGTTTCCCAGGGAGGGGTAGGTCTGGTTGGGGTATACATCCTCCCGGTCCATCCCATCTACAGGCAGGAACCACAGAGGGAGTATGGACTTGCAATGATTATACTGAAACTGTAAGTCAAAGCTGTCCATTCAATACTGCATAAACGCTTATAAATGAGGCCTCAATTCATACTGTAGCCAACAAGAGGGGCGTGTGATAGGGAAGGCATGTTAATCCCACCCCCTATGAGCTTCCATGAGTTCTCCATTATGATCAGCATAAATGCATCAACCTGCGATGGTGACAATGACTCCCCACAGAGCGCAGACACCCGCATAGGACTGGCTCACCGGGTTGGTTGCGCCGATGCAAGGAGTTCTGTCGGCGCCGGAGCCGACGGTACCCACAGTCGGATTCTTCACTGGGGACAGGCTGGATAACGCGATCTGCCTGATACAAACCATCTTCAGTAAACCATCCACCAGGGGGAGCCATAGGGGACACAGTGAATTATACACTGGGCTGGGTTTGGAGGCTGTATGTGTGGTTTGTAGCATAGTGTGGTAGAGTAAGCGACTGGGCATGGTGGGGGGGCAGCTGTATGATGGGTAGAAGCTGGGGGTATACAGCAGTCCCTGGGTGAGGCTCTTCTCATGCCAGGGATACTCACATCTCGCAGGTTGAAGGTGATCTCCAGGTTACTCCAGAAGTTGTTGGAGAAGTCAGGGTACATGTCCAGCACCTCGAGCAGGTCGTCCCGCTGGATCTTGTGCAGGTCGCAGTAGGTGAGGGCACGCACATCTGCGCTGGCCTTGCCGGGCCGTGCGTACAGACCGATGGTTTCGCCAAAGATGTCATTCTTGCCTGAGTTAGTAAGGAAGAGGAGGGAAATAAACTGAAGAGGGCCACAGTGAAATCATTTTCACACAGAAGACATAATATTATATTTTTTTACTTCTCACCAGTTACACTACAAGGTTTAAACAATAAGCTAACAAGTGTAACCTGTACTGACAATGTGAAACAAAGAACTTTATTTTCTAGGGCTTGTCAAACGAACACCAGGGGGCACTAACGGGCCATATAAAGTATAAACTGCCTGGAGAACTGGTAGTTGTATAGCTGGTGGAGACATTTCGTCAGTGTGGAACACAGCTTGCAATCCAAGGCCTCCACCTGGGTTTACTCAGCCCAGAGCTTGCTCCTCACACAGATTTCATGCAGTCTACAGGTGAAACTGCCTGTTCACAGTGGACTCCTGTTTAAATGTGTGTATTGTATCAGTTACCCTGTAGAGTTTTGAAGCCATTACCAATTAAGGAATTGTGCATCTGGCATCAGTTTCTTCATGGCAAGTGTAAATATCTGACCAGCCCATAAACTCAAGTACCGTGATCCAAATTAAACAGAGCAGCAGCTGAAATGGAGCCGCACAGAGGAGTGAGGCACAGATGAATGGGGTCTAAATCTGTCCTGTTGCTGCTGGCACCGTACAAACAGGGCAGAGTGTGATAAGGTTGGTACAGTGGGCACTTTGGCAAGGTCAGAGTTAGGTCGCTTTACATCCCTTTACATTATGCAATTTTAAATTTTAAAGTAAAATGTAACTGTACTTCAAACCCAGTAATGGGAATTTCTAATATCATATGTAAGACTGCCCCCCGATCCCCCCCCACCCCAACACACACACACATACACACGCAACACACCACACACACGGTAATGAAATTACATTCTTATTGTAATATTCACAAGACTGCCCTCTCAGCAATGACCATGAAACTGGTGAGCTATCCATACAGTAGGGCTGCACGATTTGGGGAAAATATCAAATCACGATTTTTCTGACAGAAATTGCGATTACGATTTGATTTGCGATTT